GCGCGAGCGGCGGCGCATGCAGTCCATCAACGACGCCTTCGAGGGGCTGCGCTCGCACATCCCCACGCTGCCCTACGAGAAGCGCCTCTCCAAGGTGGACACGCTGCGCCTGGCCATCGGCTACATCAACTTCCTCAGCGAGCTGGTGCAGGCGGACCTGCCCCTGCGGGGCGGCGGCGCGGGCGGCTGCGGGGGGCCGGGCAGCGGCGGGCGCCTGGGCGGGGACAGCCCGGCCGGCCAGGCCCAGAAGGTCATCATCTGCCACCGGGGCACGCGTAAGTGCGCTGGCGTCTTGGCTCGGGGAGACCAGCGCGGGCACGGGAAGGCCCCGGAGGGGAGGGGGAACAGACTGACACGTGCACTGACAGACCGACAGAAGGACGGATGGAGGGATGATGGGTGGGCGCGCGCAGCCTTGAGCGCAAGCTTCACTTTAAGGTGGTTGGGTTTTTTTTTTTTGTTTACTTCTTGATACTTGACCACGGCTCAGGAGAGGCGAGTACGCGTCCCCCACAAGAATCACAACTCCTGGGATCACCGGGCGGGGGCGCTGAGGGCTCGGCGGGGAGGGTGACGGGGTCTTTCCAGTACAGTCTAAGGTGTACTCGGAGTCAAAGTGCCCAGGACCGGAGGGAAGCCCTGGGAACTGGTTGGATATTCAGTCTCTTTTCTTTTTTTGACTCCCCAGGTTCCCCTTCCCCCAACGACCCGGATTATGGCCTCCCTCCCCTCGCGGGTCACTCTCTCTCGTGGACTGACGAAAAACAACTCAAAGAACAAAACATCATCCGAACGGCCAAAGTGTGGACCCCAGAGGACCCCAGAAAACTCAACAGCAGGTCTTCGTTCAACAACATAGAAAACGAACCGCCCTTTGAGTTTGTGTCCTGAGAGGGCCCACACTCGGCTTGGGATCTAACTGTGACCGTGCATATTGTACATGTAAATATCTACGATGTAAATGTAATTTAAGAATCAGATTTTTCTAATGGCAATCAACTGTTTGTTATTTATCTATTTATTATTCCGTTGAGTTAATGACATAGATGATTTCTTTTTAAATATATAATTTATATAATTTATCCCGATTTTCTAAAAATATGCAATAGCGTATGATTCCCCAGCACCTTTGACAGAACGGCGTTGTTGGCTGGAAGAACTCCCTGGCCAGCAGACTTCATGCTTATTTATTGTCAGATGTGGTTTATTTCTCAGCCTCGTTAATAAATGCTATTTACACCTTTTTTCTAAAAGTTATTTGTGTTGTACCCGATGGTGATGTCTATATCTTTAAAGTAATTAAATTGGTAAAAATGAACCGAATCAGAAATTCAGACTGTAGCTGTCTGGTAGGAAGCCACGTTTTATTTCGTTAGCCTGAAAGGGGGTTTGAGGATTAAGCCTCAACTTTGTGACAGACCTTCTTCTGTATCCGCATCACCTACCCTAAGTAGTAACAACTTCCCTGTATTACTATCCTAGATTTCAAACACTGTATGGGTCAAATAGGTCATGGAGTACTTATCATTCCCATTTTCAGAGGCTCAGACACGCTGTTGGGGTTACCCAAGGTCACCCCTGTCCTGCCTGGTAATAGTGCACAAACGTCAGGTACTGGGGCGGTTGGTTACAGAGGCCGGGCTGGGCACGGGAAGGGGCCTCTCCGCTGCTAGGCGCTGGGAAGAAGGAGTTGCTGCGGAGCTGCTCCGGGCCCACCCTTCAGCACTTACGGCACGGTGCTTGCCTCTTAAGGGAATGGGGCGGTGACCAAGCTGAACCTGGGAGACCACTGAGGGGAGGGGGGCTCCCAACAAAATGCAGGATGTTTTTAAAGGTAAGCCAGGAAGGAACCAGCCTGCTCCCCTGACCACCTGTCCAAGTGGGTTATTTCTCTGCTTTTTCCCTGCATCTCGACCAGCCCTCGGGGAGAAGGCAAGCCTGAGGCGGAGGGCGCAGGCTCGCCCCCTAGCGAAGGGGAGAAGAGCGAGGGCTAGGCTCTGCAGGAGTCACAGACGCGCCCCAGGGTCCCTGGGCCCCCTCACCTGTGTGCCGGAGCCCGGCGGGCGGCGCCAGACAGCGAGGCCAGGCGCGCACAGGGCGCAGAGCCGCAGGGGCGCACTTTGGCATGACACAGCTGTCCTTGAGACGCGCAGGTCGCGCCAACGCAAGGTGCTGCTCCCAGACCCGGCAGCGTCCTGGTCGGTAGGTACAATGGAGAATCACCCAAAGACCCCCAGCCTTGCTGAAAGACAATATGCTGGCAGCATGCTAATTGCTTTAACCTAGTTTCAGACCCACCCAGGGGGTCCCTGCGCACTGCGGGTGCCATGGACCTCGTCCAAGAGCAATTAAAGCGAGGCCGGGAGCCCGACCCTAAGTGCTGCCTGGCCAGACACGCGGAGATTCTGGGTCGAGAGGCTCCCAGGAGGCCTTTGGCCATGGACCCTTTCACCCCTTCCAGCCTCTCCCTTACCCCTAGAAGGATTTCACACTGGAGACAGAATTTGAGAACGAGAGAAAATAATTCGATTTTGTCCTGTATTAGGACCTCATTAAACATGAAAGTTGCCTTTGCACGAATGCTCCCATCAGGCATGTAATCTCATTACACTCATTAGAAAGTCAAATGTTAGGCAGACTTCAACTTAATTATAAGTTATGGAAGTGTTGTATCGTTTTCTTCGCCTGTAGAGAACTTCGTTTCCATTGGATTGGGCAGTGTGGCATTTCACAATTAAAACACTACCATCATTGTGGTGTGCCACCTTTTATTTTGCGTGCCACTTTTTTTTTTCTTCTGTGATTCAATGCATCAACACATCCTTTAGTGCGGTGCAGATGAAGCGGAAGAGCCGAGCTGAGCATGCAAAACCCCAGGGTCTCTATCTTGTCACTCTCGTGTCCTGACTTGGCAAGTCCCTTTAAGCACAACCTTCAAAGAGACTGACAGTTTCTTTTTATTTACTCATAATCTATTCATTCTAGTGTAGCAATTCTTTTTCTTAAAAAAAAAAAAAAAAGCCTCAGTAAAAGCAGAACAAACGTATCATTTTAGAATGTCCTTTGGCATCGGGGCTTGCGCTGCGCTTGGTGCAGGAGCGACCCTCCAGGGCCAGGCTAGAGAGCTTCCAGCCTGGGGCATCTCTGGCCCATGAACACAGCCTGGCACTGGAAGGATCATGTGAGGGCAGTTTGAGTGACAAGAATTCAGCAGTCCTCCTAAGTCAACACTTTTCGTCCAACTTCTAAAAAATGTGTATGGAAGCAATCCAGTGAGCCAAACTACTGGCCAGCAATGGACAGCCTTTGCCTGGCCCTGCTCTTCTGAACACCCATCAGCCCTTGCGCAGAGACCCAGTTTGGGACCACCAGGGAAAAGAGTTTTAAGTCTGCCCCAGCTACCCCTTGTCCACTTCACATAATAAAGACTCCGAAACCCCAGTATAGCCTGCAGTTTATGATCTCTCCCAGAGAACTGGCTAAGTCATTCTATAGTGGTCCAGGCTCCACTGCGTCACCTGTGGACCAGGGAGTCCTGAAGAGAATTTACTGAGAGTGGAGATGCAGTGAAGTGCCCTCCCCACCCAACTCCTTACCTGCTCTTAACCTGCTTGGTCAAACCTCAGTTCCAGCCCACC